TGTGGGTAGTGGAGCATCGAGTACGGAAACCAAACTGATTCTCAATTAATATATTATGCTTATCAAGAAATTCAGTTAATCTCTTATACATTAATTTTTCTATTATTTTATGGAAAACAGATAACAAAGTGATAGGCCTGTAATTACCGGTAGATATAAGAGTCTGACTACCACTCTTATATAAAGGGATAATTCTACCAATTTTTAGTTTATCTGGAACTAAGCCTAATGCAAAAGAACAATTAAATAAATAAGATAGAGGATAACTCAAAGCTGTTTTCAATAATTTAAGCATTTTCATTTGAATGCTGTAAGGCACCAGTGCTTTGCTTGCAATCAGATTAGAAATGAAATTTTCAACTTCCATAGGCACCGCTGGTGTTACAAAGAAACTATTGCATATTGAAGTTGTCAAGAATTCTACAAAAGATCTATTTCCTGGTTGTATAGCATTGGGTAATGTTGGGCCAATTGAAGAAAAATACTTGTTAAAAGCATTTGCAAAACTTTTGGCAACAGTAAGAGTGTCATCTCCAACTATTAATCTGCTTGGAAAAGACAGCTTACCACCCTTAAGGCTAATTAATTGCTTAATACCCATCCATGTAGCTTTTACATTATTGACATGGTATGAGAAGTATTCGTCATAATTAAAGCTTTTTACTAACATTTAGAATATGTTTTAGTTTGATTCAGTAAATTTATATCTAGAGTGATAAACTTGGGATTTATTTCTTACATAACAATTAAATAACTTATTTTTTGTTTTAGTAGACTTTCTAATACCCTGTGAAATCCAAGGTTCAGACTGAAATTTAGCTTCTTTTTTACCTAGTTTTTTCAGAGGAGCATGTTTATTTCTTGTAGTTAATAATTACAGAGTAGGAAGAATCAAATATGTGATTGATATCATTCTCCTTAAACATATTTTCCCATTCAATAGCCTGAACATCAAGTAAAAGGTCTTCCTGAACAAAATTGGAGTAGTCCCATTGTTTGATGCCCAAGATAGAGTATTAAGGAATAAAAAAATTCGGTAAATGATCTGTTAAATCAGAGACTAGGTTACTACTAATAGATAAGAATTCATGAGAATTAAAGAAAATGTTATCTATTAAAGTAATTCTTGTAGGCTCACGGTAGAATATTTGGTAGAAAATCATAAATTCTTCCGTTAACTGACAGTCTTCAAAGTTTAAGAGATTAATGTTAAAGTCACCCATAAATAATCATAGCTTTTTTCTTTTGAAATTTTGTCTAATGTTGAATAAAGGTACTGTTGCGATTATGTTAAGTTTAATTAAGCCGTATTGATTTGTTTCTTTATGCCTCAGGGCTGCAAATAACGGCCGGTCAACGGACAATGTCCGGTCAAAATTGGGTGCTGACCGGACAAATCCTTTGATTGCCGGACATCTTGTCCAGTCCTTTACCGACTCGTTCAAAGGAATTTTAATTTTTAACTTTTTGATAATCCCAAGGGACAACAGTCATGTTCCCGAAAGAAAAAAAAAACGAATATAAAAGTAGACAAATTAGTGGTCGAGAAATTTCCGGCAGTCGCAAATTTCCATGATGTCATCAAGTCCTGTCGCGACGGCAAACATTTTGCTATTAGGTAAAAAGTCTTCTTAGGTGAAAAGGTAGCGTACTGTTATCTACTTTACAAAAGGTTCACGTTTTATTTTCTATATATTAATATCCAATTATTTTTGTTGCTGCTGTCTTTTAGGGGATAGCTTTCTGCTTGAAACTAAAGAAAGCATAGTGTTCGAAAAAGGTGAAAAGAACATACCATATGTCACTTCCGGCACACCCAGCAAAACGTGCTTGGTTACTCAGCTTTCTGGTGATCAACTCAAAAATGGAGCGTATAACACAAAAAGTGGAAGAATAAGGTTGTCTTTAAGGGATTCTGAATGCAAGAAAGTCAGCGAGCGCAACAATTGCACTTGGAATAAGACGCCATGCATTTTATACAATTATATACAGTGGTGCCGAATTTCAAAACCCTAAGACGATACGAGTTAAAGTTAAGTGTTTCTTATTTATATTTAAGCTTACATTTCAGTTAGCTTAATTAAGAGATCGATTGAACCCTTCAGCTTTCACACATCATGCATATTTTACTTAAAGTTCAATTGTAGAACTGATGTGGCGATTGCCAAAGTTTAATATTTAATTATAAGTGATTTTGCCCGATGTAAAGTAAAACGGACAATTGCG